ACACCGAGCTGGCAGCGGGTGCACTTGATCCTTGCGCCACTTTGGTGCTCTGAAGTCCAGATCCACTGATGGCCCAAGGGCGGGTTACTCACCACAGCCCTGAGTAGGTCCCTCTTGTTGGGGTTGTCCGAGTGCTCTGGGGGAGGCTTCGGTTGGGACTCCTGGCTCGTTGGATTGCGCTTCTTTCGGCAAAGACCCGAGGGTCGAGCCTGCTTGGAGGCAGGGACAGACTCCCCGTCAAAGGTCACCTGCGGGCCTTGATCTTTATCATAGCCAAACAAGAGAGCGACCCTTTCGGCCAGGAAACCCTGCACCCTATGAGTTGCCTTATCGAGGGCCTGGAGCTGAGCCTCAAAAGCGAGGTCTCTGGCTCCATTAGCCTCGTCTCCTGCCAGCTTGTCAACCACCCCATTGGCTAGCCAACGCCACTTGGTCTCGGCCCCAAACTCTTGACAGTGCTGCTCAGGGGACCGGTGACTTCGAATCCAGCGAAGGTGTAAGCGATCAGATTGCTCCCGGAGGGGAGTGAAAAGGTCCAGGGAGGTTTTGCCCAGCGAACGTCGCTCCACCCTGGTCTTAACACTCTTTGCATCCATGGTGATGTCAACATCACCTGTCGTATGCTCGGCTATGAAAAGGAGGGCCATAGCCTCAGCCCGGAATACTGTTTGATCACCTGGCACCGGGCCCGTGGCCGTGGCCAGGACCTCTATGCTGCCTTCCCGGCAAACAAAGGCTATTGCCGCCCATGTCATCCGCCAGCAGCGCGGATCACCTGTGCAGCCTGGGGACCCATCCGTTGCAAACTTGAGCTGAGGGTCGTCCAACTTCGTAGCCTGTTTCCATAACCCCGTGAGCTTGATGTCCCGTGGGTTGGGTGACGTCGGGGATACTGGCGGGAGACCCCTGACCTTGACACAAGTGGGCAGCTGGCTCAAAGCTGTCTGGACTGCTGCAGGGACTGGATGGTTTTCTTGCCACCACTTGCAGTCATAGCAGGTGCTCCTGTGAGGCTGGTTGGTCGCACAGGGAGCACCACGCCTTTGGGCCGCATCTGAGTGCCCCTTGCCAAACTGACTGTAGGGCCTTGGATTGGAGCCCTGGCAGCTTCTTAAGGATCTTTTTGCCAACAGTCCAGTCGACTCCGGCTTTCAGCGCGGCAGAGGCTTCCAACCCGCTGACTGCATCACTGCGCTTCCTTGCCCAGTGGCGGTGGATCAGCTTGACCACCTTCTCCAGCTGAACTGGGTCCTCAACACACCAAAGTTCGCCATCAATCCTCCACTGGGTAAGGGAGAGGGCCGTCCAACCCATGTCCTTTGCGTAGCAAAGAGTGGCTCCCAGGGGCTGCCGCGATCCTCCAAGGCTCTCCGTGGCCCGAGAACCGCTCTTGCATGCCTTGAAACACACTGACCAGGACCGGCTCAAGATCCTCCGGCCACCTGAGGACCAAAGCCACTTAAGAGCGCAGGTGTTGCTCTACAAGGAGGGCAGACGGATCAGGTTTGAAAGTCCCCCTTAAATCCAGCACCACTTCAGTTGACCCGTTGGTCAAGCGGCCGTTGTGGCCAGCTGCAAGTTG